TATATCTTAAAAAGTAAATATAAATCTCTTTTTATTAGTTAGTTTATTAGAGATATTCGAGTTAATAGTAAAGTCTAAGTTATTATTATATATAAATTAAAAAGAAGATTTTTTCTTTAAGATAGTATATAGAGTAGAGAATTTCGATTTCGGATTTAGTAAGATAGCGAGATCCTCTATTATTAAGATCTTATTATCGTTATAATTATAGCGATCTAATATAAAAAGAATCTTATCTTTTATTATATCGAGAAGTACTTTATATTTATTTATTTATAGTTTTCTTAAAATTATATTATATATAAGAGGGGCGATAAGTATAGAATATATTCTCTCTCGATAGCTATTTACTATTATTATCGAAAGTAAATAGTAGATAATAAGCTTCTTCGCGATTTAATTATTATAATTCTTTAGAGATTTAGATTTCGATAGTAAAATCGATTTTAATAGCAATTATTTATAAACTCTATAAATTAGAGACTTATTAATAATTATATATATCTTAATATACTTACTATCGATAAGAGTATTCTAAAGTAAATATTTTTATTTCTATAATAATAGCGTTACTTATATTCTAAAAGAATAGCGTACTAAAGAATTATTAGAAGTATTTAATAGATATATATTATAGATCCCCCTTATCGTAACTTTAATAGAGGCTATTTATTTTCTAAATTCTTAAAGGCTTCGTAAGCGTTAACTAATAGATTTATCTTATATTCGTTATTAATAGTAAATTCGTAAATTCTTATCTTTTATAAGATCTTTTTATTAGCGTTAGTCTATCTTTATACTAAATAATTATATCTTATATAATCTATCTTTTTATAATTAAAATATATTAAATCTCTTAAATCTATATTATTATCTTTAATATACTCTAAAAGATATTTAAGATATAAATATTCGATATAATAGTAAAAGATATATAATCCTCGATTATAGCGATAATTATCTTTTTTATTTAAGTTATAATAATTTTAAAAATCGTTTTATTAAGAGATAGAGTTAGATATCGTTTATAGTCTATACGCTATAAGTTATTATTATCTATAAGATATTTTTTAATATTTCTTAGAGATATAGATTTATAATTAGAAAGGATTATAAAAATAGAGTAAAGTCGAGTATATATTTATAGCTTAATATCTAAATTATTTCTTAAATAGATTTTATTATAATTAAGTATAAAATCGAGTTTAATAAGTTTTATATAAAATCTATTAAAGGGCTAGATTATCTATTAAAGAGAATTATAATTATATCTTATCTTTTTATAATAATTTATCTCTTTATAAATCTTAGCTAGCTAATCTATAACCTCGTTAATTAATATATAAAAATTTATAATATTTCTATATCTTCTATTTAGAGTATAAAAGATCGCTTTTCTATTTATATATAATAGAAGATAAATAATCTAAGACGTTTTAATAGAATAGTAATTCTTATTACTTAATAACTTTTCCTTTATTTTAATTAATTAATTCTTTTATATAAGATTCTTATTATTAATAAAGAAGAGAGAATTTAATAGTTTAGTAAACTTCTCTTTTTTATAGATAAGAAGTAAAACTTAAGTAAGCTTTAATAAGATTAACGCTTATATTTTAGAGATAATTTATAAATTTCTAAGTATATCTAATCGCATTATTATTAGCTATTATTAAAGCTTTCTATTATATTCTTATAGCTTCTTAATCTTAATACTAACTTACTTTAAGCGTTATTAAGCCTTATCTTATTAATTTACTATCTTATTCTTCTTAATCTTAAAATTAATATATTACTTAGTTATATCTCGAAACTAATCTTATTAATAGCGGAGATCGCGAAGTATAATAAGAAATTAATTAAGCTTCTTATCGATTTAATAGCGTAGTTAATTAATATTAATAATTTATTAAAGATTTATAATAATCTTAATATTCTCTACTATATTATTAGATAATAAGAATTATTAATAATTAAATATCTAAGTAAAAAGATTACTAACTCGATTTATCTTATTTAATTATATATTCGAAATTTATAATAATTTTAAAATAAAAAGAAGAGAGTTACTTTATTTCTTTTAAGTCTTTAATATTATAAATATTAAGCGAAGAGGAGAAAAGAAAAACTTCTTATAATATCTTTTATAAGACTTTACTATAAATTCGAAAAATAATATTATATTTTATAAGAACTTTTTTTTTTAATTTATAGATTATTTAGACTATTATAAAAACTATAGATAATTTAAATATCGTTTTTTAAATATTTTTACTTCGCTTAAAGAGTTAATTATATAATTATTAAATTAAATAGTAATTTCTTTAAATTTACTAGTTATATAAATAAACTAATTTAATAATTACTTTATTTCTCTAACTAATTATAAAACCGTTACGCTATCTCGATAAATACTCTTTATAATATATTATCTATATAATAGATTTATCTAGAAATATAATAACTTAACTTAATATCTTACTAAAGCTTCTATTAATAGATTTCTTAAATTTATCTATTAATTCGAATATAGTAAGTGGAATAATCTAGTTATAGTATTAGAACTAATATAGATATAATATTAATATAAATATCGAATAGCTATATAGATAGAAGATATTAGATAGTAGTAAATAGCTCTATTAAGATACGCTAGGTTTTAATAGACCGTAGAGCTAGATAATATATTAGAAAAGATATAGAGTACGCTCGTAATATCAAAGTTCGCTCCATAGCCCTGATTAAAAAACAGATATACATTATTTGATTTTAAAATAACTTTTTTGTTTTCTATTAAAATTCTAAGATTTTTCGTTTAAATTATAGAACGTAATGTGGGCTTTCAGATAAAAAAAGAATTACTAAATTTAGTCTTATAGATATTTATAGATAAGGAATTTAGATATCGCTCAATAAAGATCGCTTATCAAAATTTACTCGACAGCCCTAATTAAAAAAAATGGTTATGAATTTAATTCATAGGCCTTTACTCGTACTGATATAAAAGAATAAGATAAGGCTGAATTAGAAAATCTTGAATTTATATGTGCAGTCAATTATAAATTCGAGTCCTCTACGCTTTTTAATTAGACCGGCTGAGTTATCGCGGGTAAATAAATTAGCATCCGCAACTATCAAAAAAATATCGCTTATCAAAGTTCGCTCGACAGTCGAACAGTTTGATTTTAGAATAACCTTTTTTTTTCTATTAAAATTTTGAGATTTTTTTTTAAATTATAGAACGAAATATGGGCTTTTAGATAAAAAAAGAATTTCTAAATTAAGTCTTATAATCATTAAAGCGTAAGGAATTTAAATGTCGCTTATCAAAGTTCGCTCGATAGCCGGACAGCTCTAATTAGATATACATTATTTGATTTTAGAATAACTTTTTTATTTTCTATTAAAATTTTGAGATTTTTTTTTAAATTATAGAATAAAATGTGGGCTTTTAAATAAAAAAAGAGTTATTAAATTTAATCTTATAGCTATTTAAAAGCAACGAATTTAAATATCGTCTATTAAAAGTTCGCTTATTAAATTTACTCGACAGCTCTAATTAAAAAAAATGATTATGAATTTAATTTATAGATATTTACTCGTTATGAAATAATAGATTATAAGAATAAGATTTAGAGATTCTAGATTCTAGAAGATTATAGATATTAATAAATACGAGTATAAATATCTATATACTCCTCTTAAGAAATAAGAAAAAATCTATCTCGTATATAGTAAAATTATTATCGTAGTCTTATTATCTTACTTACTTCGCTTATAGTAGACTCTAGCTTAAAGATACTTATATTCGAATATTCGATTGTTATTTAATATTTTACTTAAAGAAGTCATATAGATAAAACTATATATATACGATTTTTAGAGATTTTAAAATACGGAAATGTTAGAAATATCTAGTACTAACGTCTCAAATCGTCGCATGCAAAATCTGTAAAATTCGTATTTGTATAAATTACTCTTTAAAAGGCTGAAGTAATGAGCGATTATAGTGAACAAAAGGATATTGAACGTTAGAGGTTTTAAAAATCATTGTAATAGTATAATATAACTATTCGATATTTAGATTTATAAACTACGATTAAGAGCCTCTTCGATAACTATATATTTTCAAAATATAACATTTAACTTTTCATTAGTTAATTACTATTTAATATGTATATAAAAATATTATATAAGCTTGATATCAAGATTAAAATTTAATAATTAAGATTTTAGCCTTAAGAGTTAAATATTTAAAAATATTTAGATTATAAATTAATTTATAATTTAAGTCTAAAAAAGACGATATCTAAATAGATAATTTATAAAAATTAGAAATCTTAATATAATAGCGATTTAAATTTTACGCTTTTCCTCTAAGTGAATAAGAAGACTTATTTTTATTAATTGTACTCTTTCGAATAGTATTAATCGATGGTGATGTTACTGTCATATTATGGGGTTTAACGGTCCCTGAAGAAATTCTCGAGGAAAGTGTTACGAGCGATTACGGGGTGTACTAGTACTCTTGGCATGGTATCTTACCCCTGTTTGAAAACCAAAGTTGAAAATATGTGGGCATATTTTGAAAATATGTGGTTACCGAAGGGGCCCTAAAATTGGTGCCGCAAAACCTTGTCTGGTTCCCAAAATGTCAACTCTGCCGAGCGAAATAGAAAAAAATCTCCATGTTTTGACACCATGAATACACAATCACCCAACCTGATGGGCTTCAATCCTTCGTCTTTCAGGTCCGAGTGGCGCAGTATCAAGTTTTTTCCCCGAGATTTAAGCTCTAGTCCACTACTATGATATTCCTACCTTACTCTTCCGCCAGTAGCCTCTAATTGGCGTCCAGAATGCGTGCACTCAAAAAGACACTGAACGTTCTATCAATATCACCAGTATTGCACCATTCAGCGTGCCGCAGAGCGGCCTTCTTTTTGCCCAAGGATCTCGGCTCCTGTTCTCCTGTTCCTAATGTCGTCGCAAGTAAGCGCATGTCCACTTCTTCTACGCCATCACATTCACCATCGCCTTTTACGCCCAGATCCACCCCCACCTTTTCCTACCGAATCGGGGCATCATTCTCTGCCAAAGGACGCCGCTTCGATCCTAAGACGGACGTTTTCACCTTCAATACCCAGACGCAGATTACCTCCGAGCAAGACGTTTTCACGGGGCGGCCAAACAGCGGCCAGGATGCTTTCTTCGTAAGCAAGGCGGGCAACAGCAGTAACGTGGCATTTGGTGTGGCCGATGGAGTGGGCGGCTGGGCTGATCAGGGGATTGACTCCGCCGACTTCTCCCATGGACTGTGTCAAGGGATGGCTAGGATCGCCGGAGAACTACATTCGCCGGACAAGAAAGATCTTTGGCCTCAATATATCCTTGGTAATGCCTATCAGGAGATACTTCGGGAGGGCAAGATCGGTGGTGGTGGGAGCACGGCATGTTTAGCTACTGGGGATGAAGACGGAAATTTGAAAGTGGCTAAGTGAGTCTGCAGCGGCGGCAATACTATGATCGAGACTTATACATAGCAACAGCCTTGGCGACTCGGGGTTCATACAATTTCGCCTGAATGCTGTCCACCACTTCTCGAACCCTCAGACACACGCGTTCAATACACCTTTCCAGCTCTCTGTGATACCGCCAAAGATACTCGCTCTCTCGCGGCTTTTCGGTGGGAAGCAATTGAGCGATTCCCCTGAGGACTCGAACGATACGAGTCATGAAGTACGTCATGGCGACGTCTTGATGTTTGCTACTGACGGTGTCTGGGACAATCTGAGCACACGCGAGCTGCTGAAAATTGTGAGCCGGCAAATGACTGGATGTCATGCTTGGGAGACTGGGGAGAAAGGCACGACTGTATCCGAAATGATACATGATCTCACACAGGATGGTGGGATTCCCAAGCAATATGAGAACAACTTACAGGCATTATTGGCAGTCAACGTTGTTGGGGAAGCTAAAGCTGTCAGTATGAACACCAAGCGAGATGGTCCTTTCGCCAAGGAGGTCCAAAAATTCTACCCACATGAGAACTATCACGGCGGAAAGGTTGATGACATTTGTGTCATCGTAGCGATCGTGGTCCGAAATAAGTAATATAAGTGTCGGAGATGTACATACATCAATTGCATTTGGGCGTCGTTTCATCCTACGAATAGAGCGGCATTGCAGGCGCTTAGTGATAGGACAAGCGGCATCCTATGCATGTATACACACGAAAATTCGAAGTCAATGGCTGCAGAAAGAGGATGGGTACACAAAGTTGTTAACATTGACGTACTATGGATGCTGGAATATCTGTAAGGTACAGGCAAACCAGCGAAACTACTGCTAAAATCGTCGTCTATCACCTCAAGAGATTACATGCCAAGATATTTGGTAGCCTATAGCAACAGCCGAGTAAACAGTTTCTTGGCGCCAATCGTCGCGCGCTTTTCCGCTTCAGACAGCTCGAACTCAACACTTCAGCATCCGTTCCAAACTGTTTCGTTAAGTGATTGCTTTGCTAAAGTCCTTGGGTCAGATGGTAGTCATGTATTGTGCCTTGCGCTCAGTCCCGAACGCATGACTTCGGATACAATGGCCACCATCTCGGCAGCATCTCCAACACCTATAGGCGCAAGCTACCTCGACCCACCAGGACGCCCGAGATCGCGACAGAACCTCAGCAACCAGCCCTCGAGGCCGAACCTGAAGCGCAATGCGCCATTGTTCCACAAGTCAGACGTCAATGTATCTGCTTTGCCCCAGGCATGGAAGTTTTCCATCGGAGACAGTTCGGATGATGAAGCGCCTGTGGCTCCAATGAAATTTAGTGCAGAAGCTAAGGCTTTGCTTGGAGAAGAAGCATCAGTTTTAGGGGGATCTTCACCGTCACAAAAGAATGAGATTCACATTGGAGACGCACTACAAGAGAGGGTCAATGCAGTAAGACGAAGAAGTCCAGTTCCGCTGGGAGCGATCCGCCTCAGAGAACGCACCGCATCCCCCGCCTCCTCACGATCTGGAAGTCCGCGCATTGTTCGATTGAATTTGGGCACCGCGGCACCTTCAACGCTACGGAAGGCGACAGCGGTGGACAACTCTACGGAACAAGCGCAGCACCATCACGACCTCATTACACCTGCTCCTCGAACCCGAGGTCAAAAAAACCCTCCAGTGGCGGGATCTGGTACTTTACATTCGGATGCACGTGAATCAAGCACTGCGAAACCTTGGTCAGCCGGGTCCGAAGCTCAAGCCGAGCCTACGTCGAACTCCAGAGAGCACTCTAATATCCACGAAACAGCTTTGCAAATGAGCAATCTCTCCATGAACAGAACAACGGGTGAAGAGACCGGGGTACAAGGATCCATGCGAATCAAGAGGGTGGGCAAAGTGACTGGTCGATACCTAAGTGGTCCAGCAAGGAGGGGCATGAAAAGGAGGCAGAGTGATGAAGAACAGAGCCCAATACACGAGGATGCTCTCTCGTCAGGCGGTGGGCAACTACTCTCTTCTGGTGAAAGTAGAGACTCTCCCTTGCTGCAAGTCGCCGATACATCATCCAGGGGCATTGACAGGCCTATCAGCCGACCAAAGTCGCCTCAACACGAACGACCGCCTCACGTACGGTTTCAAAGCCAGGCTGATATTATCACCGGCAGTCCCATGCCAGGAAATCAGGAGCTACCCAAAGCACTGATTGATACAACTGAAAGCAGGCCAAGGCCGGCCCCACTGTCTAACAAGGAAGGATCATCAGGGAAACGTGTCCAGCCTATATTCAAAGTACCACCATTACCCCCGTTACCATCACGCTTTGATCAGGAAAATGAACCTCCACCAACCTTCAAGCGAAACAAGCCCAGTGGTTCCGCTCTGTCTGAGAAACAGAAGTTCAGTGTCATGTCTGACGAAAAGATGCTCATTCAAACGCCAGCGATGTTATCACCACAAAGGCCGGCTCTCGCGGTCCGAAGTCAGAACACACCGCATCGGCCAGCTCCACCGCCACCAAAGATGACGATGCTGGAGACTGCAACGGCGAACGCTGGTGCGGCCTCAGCAAGTCAGGCAAAAAAGAAGCGAAATTACATCTCCGTTAATGGCAAACTCTTCACTCGCATGGATTGCATTGGCCGGGGAGGCAGCTCCAAGGTTTACCGTGTAATGGCTGAGAATTACAAGGTCTTTGCTTTAAAGAGGGTCACTCTTGAAGACCAAGACGAGTTAGCCATTCGGGGGTACAAAGGCGAGATCGATCTACTGAAGAAATTAGAGAAGGTGGATCGGGTAGTCACGCTCCTTGATTGGGAGATCAATGAAGAGAGACACACTCTCAGCGTCCTGATGGAGATGGGCGAAAGTGATCTGAATAGAGTGCTCACACTTCGGCTCAACTCTGAAGACGCCACATTTGACGTGACATTTACCCGCTATTTCTGGAAGGAGATGCTTGAATGCGTGCAGGCCGTGCACCAGTACGATATCGTCCATTCAGATCTCAAGCCGGCGAACTTCCTTCTCCTGCAGGGCAAGTTGAAGCTGATCGATTTTGGAATTTCCAATGCCATAGCAGACGATACTGTTAATGTACACCGCGAGCAGCATATCGGTACACCCAACTACATGTCTCCAGAAGCTTTAGTTGACTCAAATGCTGGCAGCGGACAGCCTTCTATCATGGGCAAGGTCATGAAGTTAGGGAAACCGAGCGATGTATGGAGCTTGGGATGTATTCTGTACCAAATGACCTACGGCAAGCCACCCTTTGCGCACATCTCGGATCAGTATCGGAAAATAATGGCCATACCGAATCCCAACCATGTCATCAGCTTTCCCAACATTGGCATTGGAGGCGTCACGGTTCCTAGTGGCCTAATCAGGACACTCAGAGGGTGTCTGAGCCGTAACCCGATGCAGAGACCAACAATTGAGCAGCTCCTGACATATGGTGACCCTTTTTTGTATCCAGACGCCGCCGCCAAGGACACGGTTCCAGTCAGTCAGGAACTGATCGCAAGACTGCAGCACAATATCATCAAGCACGTTCGAGAGAAAGGCATGCCTAGTGACGCGGAGTTGTCTACCTGGCCGGCAAAATTCTTCGCCTCCATCAAAGCGGCAGTCGAGGAGGGAAGGGCTTGATTCAGACTTCTCGTACTAGGACTGGAAAGGCTTGTGCGGTATTTCCGTGGAGTCGGTAATTTTGGATAGAAGCATGCGGCTTTGGGTAATGAGGCACGAGTCTTCTTCTCAATAGCATTCAAGCGTGCTGCAGTATCCAATGGGATTGGATATCTGAGGCATTGGATGCCGTGCGGTTTGACACTCGCCGTTGTAGATACCCTTATGTTACATCAGTACCCTTTCTATAGCATACATGAGCTGAATGATCAGCCATAACCATTACAGGCAGCCGCAAAAGGCTGACCCCTGGCCCCGACACATGATTAGGAACATCCGTGATGATAGAATTTGGGCATGATACCCTCTTATACCGCACCTTTGATGCGATCACTCTTCACTTGATCACGGAGCTTTATACCTTCCTCGAGAGTCACTGACTTTCGCCAATCTTTAAAGCCCACGTCTCCAAATTTTTCCACCTTCACTGGCGTCTCTATCTCTCATTCCCCCAGCCAATCACACACTTCACCTCCCCCCCTCCCCCATCAGCGCCTCCAACTCCTCCTCCTCCCCCTCCACCCTCTCCTTCTCCCTCTCCCTCTCACCCGCCAACACCCTCAACTCCTTCACCCTGAGTATCGTGTAGCGCATCTTACTCGTCACCCTCTTCACCTTCCGCTGCCGCCGCTTCGTCTTCTCCACCACTCGCATCGGCTCCCCCTCGATGCCCACGACCACGACCCGGCACACGAACAGGCCCTCGTCCACGTACGGCGCCCCGCGGAACGTGTAGTCCCGGCTCCCGATCATGCTCGCGCGGTTCAGGCGGAGGACGGTCCCGGGCGGGGCGTGCGGCATGTGGAAGGGCAGGCGCAGGGTGTCGCCGGCGGTGAGGAGGTAGGGGCGGGTGTGCAGGTGTGCGGTTATGTAGTGGGGGGCTTGGGCGGCGAGGAGGGGGAGGAGGGAGAGGTTGGCGTTTGTTGGGGGGGGCAGGGGGGAGCGGCGGGACAGACGGTGCGGGCGTTGAGGCGGGGGTGGTGGATGATGGCTTGGGGTTGAATTGGTGGGTGTTTGCGAGGTCGGGAGGTGGTTGAAGGATGCTTCTGGGGGGTCGGGGTCCGTGGTTGTTGTGCTGGTTGTGATGGTTGTGAGGCGGGCGCGGAGAGGGAGGAGGAATGTTGGTGGGAGCGTGGAAAGAGGTGTTGATGGTTGACAGAGGGCTTTCGCTATACTTCGTGCGAACATGTTGGCGACGAAATCCGTTCGTTGTGGTCAATAGTTCTTTGAACGCCTTCGAAGACTGGATTGGATTTTGATGCCAAGAGGCCAGTCCTTTCTCACGGAACCAACCCGGCGCTGAGGGTTGCCGACTTAATGTCAAGTAGAATTATGTACCTCACAATTAATCCGTTCAATAATTAAATGTCGTCTGAAGCGGTGTATAGCCTCTACCATTAGACCTGTACATTTTGGCAAGAGCATCTCTAATTAAAAATCAACCAGTCAGATATTGCATTGTTTGGCACACACTATGCTATGTGGGTTAACGGCGACGACTCCTTCACGGCGTCCACTGATGCGGCGCTGCCGGACAACGCGTTTCCTTTCGCAAGGCTTGCTAGTGTAACCTTGGCTGACCAATCGACGACCTTCCTATACCATCAGATAAATGGCACGACCTTTGCTGAGGAGCAGTGGGACGCCTCACCTGGTGCCTGGATTGCCGCGATATATGTAAGCGTGTCGGATTATTAGTGTCCAAGATGTCATGCCAAAAGTACACATCTTAAGAGGAAGGAGATCCAAACCTTGGACTTGACACAAGCTAACCGAGGCTGTTCTATTCCGGCTACTGTCAACGATTATTTTCCTTGAACACATGATAGGCTCCGAAGTCGTTCTCGGCGATGCTGGATTAATCTTCGACTCTATAAACTTACTGAGCTTACGACGATCCAGAGTTCCGAGGTCCGATTGCGAAAAGACCATAAAAGAGTCAGAGGGAGAACTGTATTTGCAAGGGGCAGTCGCTAGACCTTCCCTTGCATGGAAGCAAAGTCTTACAGCCCTTCCTAGGATACGTCTCTTTCCTTCCAAACAGTCAAATAATGCTTGAACACAAGCAAGTCGTAAGGTTTTGGCATGCGGAAGCATTACTTGAACTTGATAGAATCTTAAAAGGGGCTAGCTTGCTGACAGCGAATATCATACTTGCCCAAACCCATCAACCTGCACCAGTCCATTACGTTTGAACAATTTCCTTGTATCGTAGGGGTCTTTTTACCCTAATGGTTTCAGTTGCCCAGGCTGCAGCACCCCAATGCGGTGTCTGACGATGCCAACCAATTACCAACCGCTGGCTTGTTTGATAACGTGGAACCCAACATGATGTTACAGGACGATGATGAACTTGAGGCAGGCTGTAGTAGGGCGTCGGAGAAGGATGATGAGAGCAGCCTCGGTGACTACGTGGAGAGCCAGCCATCATCCGACATCCAAGCAAATGCAGGCACCGCCACGTAATCGACCTCCGTGCAAATTTCACGGACGAGACGACATCCTGGTTTTTTCGTGTCTCCGGTCGCGGTGTCCAGCTTACCAGAGCTACTGAGTGATTGTGTTAAGGAGAACCACATAGACGGATACAAAGCCGTTCGAAAGGCCCTCTTCGACGCATTTGGCTGCTTACTCGAGGCTGTCTACTATCTCCATAACACATAGCAAATCAAACACCGTGATATAAAGCCCACGCAACATTCTCATGCACAACCATCGCGTTCTCATCTGCGACCTAAGAAGTGCGTATGATTTTCACCTCTCGACGGAAATGAGTCAACCGAAGCCAGCCGATCACCAGGGACTCGAAAGTACAAAGCACCCGGAGTCATGGAGAACATCGATTCGAATGAACCTCGAACATACAACTGGAACCTCTTAGTCGTCTTCTCCGCCACAGATGTCCAGCCCAGATGGCGGGGACCCTCTTTTAATAAAAGACCTGCTGACCGAATCCACTTCCGAAAGGGGCAAGAGACACGCGTTGCGATTCAGAGAAAGGACACCGATGAAGGATATAACATAGATTGGAAGTCAGCTACACTGGTCAACGTGGACGTGACCACCGAAGCTGAGAAGCCGGATTTGAAGCTTACGTCAAGACAGAAAGGGAGAAACTTGGTCCTCGCTACCGTGACAGCAGCAGATGGTGACACGGAGACAGGTACGGATAAGACCGAGACCTGGGTCGTTACTGTAGCCAGTGGCTCTGGGGAACTTTATCGTATCATCAAATGTAAGTGCCATTTCCAGCTTTAGACACATATTGACAGCTTCGCACCCTTACCCCCGAGCGTCACTGACCGGACATCTACCCTAGGAGAAGAGGCCGAGGCAGGCTAAAGAGCGGTAATGGACGATCTCTTTGCGTGGTTCATCTTCTAAGTGTGGGGGTTTCTTTCTTCTCTGCTTGCAACTCGACGGGTAAAGCCGTGGGTATACAATCGGAAATTCAGCATCGTTCCTCGGCCATTGGCCTTTGCAATACCCCGTTCCCGCTGCAACCAGGGTACGTGAAATCTGCTATTCGTCGCAGTGATCTGAGTGGAGGATTTGGGGAGGCTAGAAATATTTGTCTCTGATAGCGAGTATATCTATTAGTGCTGGAAAGTCTTGAGGTTGGGATAATGCATGGCTGCAAGTGAATTCGCCAAGGACCAAGAAACTCCACCATCGGCTGCGCTCTGTCGGCGGCGTCGGTCATACGGAAAACGGTTTATATTGGTGTTTGATGCTTCCTATCCTCGCCTTAGGAGGATGTCAGTCTTAAGAACTATCTTCCGCTTTGATCGCTGCTTCCAACCCCGAACCGGTGCGGTGTCTTACTTGAGAAGATAGTCATGAGGATTCTCATGTAGAATGCTCCATTGGTCCAATCTCTCTTTATCCCACATGACATACCCCCACGTCCTCAGACCCGCCTTATCAGACTGGTAATAGCGAATATCAACCTTGTCCCCCGTCGACCACGCCCATGCCGCGTTTGGAGCATCCCTATCGCTATCCCTGTAGAATCCTAGGAATGCTTCAGTCACCCATGCATCGTACATAGGATTATCCCATTCAGGACCATTTTCCTCCAAGGCGCGAGAGAGGGTCGAGTCTGAGAGACCTATATTCTCTCGGAGCATCTGCATCTGATCTTCGTGAGAAGCTTTCATCAAGGTGCAGAAGAAGCCCAGGCCAAGGGATAGGTAGTGTTCGTGACAGGATTGGTCGTCGTACACTGACAATATGTCAGCTCTCCGACCTACTTCAAGTTTGAGCTGAATCCACCATTTTCTGACTTTCGGACACCCATTCGGAGGAATCGTTCCACGGTGCAGCGGGATAATGGCTTTCCCTTCCCGTCATTTCCTGCCATTCCGACTTGCATTGTTTGTGTAGCTCATCATACCGATGTATGATGTAGTCCCGTACACAAGCTATTTCTTCTACCTCCCAGGCCCTGAAAAGAGCGAAGAAGAGGAACGACCTATCCTGGTCATCGAGGGACCTGATCGAATCTCTTTGTACAGCGAGACGAACCCTGCCGGGGTCTCGGTCTCTACGTCTCCTGGTTTGCTCCTCCCGATAGTAATCCGACTCTCGAAAGAGAACGGTGAAGAGCTCGTAGCGGTAGAAGGCTCGATGGATTCGACGCACCTCATTTGGCGAGAGTGATGTACGATGATTTAGACTGTGACCTGTGACTGGGTGCGTTGACAGCGCGTAATCACAGAAGTCTTTTGTGACATCGATTACCGACAGATGAAACCCCCATACGTTTTCTTTGATGCTTGGTTCGAGTTGCTTGAGAGCCACATGCAGTGAGTCTCTCGCGGTCTTGTACTGCTCGATGAAGACTTTCATTTGGGGCACATAATCATCATAATTCCGTGGCAGCTTCAGCGCGTCTACGATCGCCAAGACGTCGAAGAGCACATCTGGATGGATATCTCGGAGGAGTATGTTGGACAAAATCGAATGGCGTTGGCTTTGGTAGGCCCTGAGATAGGATGGCGACGCAGAGATGAGCGCTTGAAGCGTCGGTAAGTCTGGCATCTGGTGGAGAATAGTTTGCTGGATCTCAACCGGAACATCTTCTAGGTTTGTTCTTTGCGGGACAATTCGGTTTTTCTGAACTTGTCTTGGTTTGTAAACCACCATATCGGGGCTGCCTTGCGTCTTGGGGCGCTTCTGGCGACGGTATCTTCGAAGCACTCTTTTCATCTCGAGTGAAGCTTATCACAAGTTTTCAGGAGCACAAAGTCGCAGCATCCTGCAATACATAGGGGGGGTTATAATGATACGGGATGGATTCTGTGAATATATGAAGGAAAGCACTTTGAAATGAGTCACCCTATCCGACAACACATATAGGAATCACTGAGTCATTATAGGAGAATGACTGAAGATACTAAGCCCACTAGCATAGCCTAAGGCATATGGATCTAGCGATGATGGAAGCTCCAAAAGAATGATTGACTGACTCAGAAGGCTAGAGGGTAATCTTACGATCCAGCTGTACAGCTAGAGACATCGGTTCTTGCGCCTTATGAGATCGTGGCACCAGAGGTTCAAGCAGTCAAGAAGTCATCGAAAAGAGGGCAAAAAGTGCAATGTTATAAAACATATGGTTTTTCGGAGCGCTCTGTCTCGTCTGCCTTGAATCTGTCACAGCAGGCTACTCGTACTCTAGCGGCGGCGCCAAGCCAAGTCGCATTTTCCAACGACGATTCGATCAAGCTCGACAAGAGGCGACAATGAGGAAGTCGACCTTGCCAGCATGTACCTGGACACTGATAACACATTACTAACCGCGTAAGGCGTTCAAACTGTGGGCTTGAAGCTAATACCTGTTTCAAGAGGCCGTCCACGCTTTCACAATCCCCAGCTGGACCTCCACTCACACTGGCCGCTCTGTTCATCCCCCATGGCCATGAACACCTTCGTACACTCATCCCAACTATCAGGAAGATGCCAGCCCTAGACCACGAGTACTTCCAGTCGATTCCCTGGTGTGCAAAGCTGTTGGCAGAAACCGATGTCGTCATCCTCGCCACGCCCTCTCGCCAGAGAAAGGAAAGCACCGAAGACGAGCTCGTTGCCGTTACACTGAAGACGGACAGGACCATACGGTCTTGGTTGACATTCTACAAAAGACCTGCGGCAGGCACCACACGTGTGGATGAAGTCTACAATCTGCTGAGCTTAGGCCCGGGCGTCAATGGCTACGCTCATCTCGTTGCCGGTGGAATCATTGGAGTCATACTTGATGAATGCATGGGAATTTTAGGGTTGATCAATCAGAGTCTAGGCGTGGAGGGCGCAGGAGGCTTTATGGTCACAGCGAACCTGAAGATCAATTACGTGAAAGCTGTGCCAACTCCAGGAACCTACCTTGCTACGGCGACACTTCGAGAGCTCAGAGGGCGGAAATCCTACTTTGATGCGTCAATTAAGGATGGAGATGGGACGGTTCTAGCTACAGCGGGATCCTTGTGGATTGACGTCGCAGCGAAGCTATGATCCTGGAAGAATTGCAATGGCGAACGTTAGACTGCTTCCAGCCTTTTCAATGTCATATTACATCGGAGAAGGAAACTCTTGGGATCGTACCTCATCCGGCGCAGGAAGGACATCGGACCGAGTTCTTGAAGAAGGAAGAAAGGAGGCATCATGCAAGAGGCGACCGGTGCTTTTTGGTGGCAAAATTCGTTGCAAGGAGCGAGGCAATGCGTATATTCTGTATAGTACGAAGTAATCAGGACCAACAAACGCTTGTCGTATATGGACAGCCTTCGATAAACATCAAACACAGGGGAAATTGACGACTCCTAGCATTCGGTCCCAGTTATCAAACTCATTTACCATAGTCATAGACCTTTATCCTTTGGCGATTTGCTTGTTTGCTACTACCTGCTGATGCCCAGTCGAGAGAGTCGTATGGGTCAGATTGCATGAAAAGTCCCCTGAGGTCAATTCAGTATTTGGAGAGTGTGACAATGATCTAGGTGACTCACTGGTATAGCTCGTGCTCGTCCACCTTTTTTCCTGCGCTCTTTACTGTGCGTTTGGCCTCCTCGATTTTCTTTTGATGCTTCTCTTTGTCTTTGGGTGACTTGTATGCTCTAGAGTGAGCATCATTGAAGCCTTTTCGCAACACGTGGTGACTAAGATGCTAGTCAGCATGTCACTGTACCGGATGCGAGTTCCAATCAGCGAGCACTAACGTTTGAGCCTTGTCTTTCCAATCAACCGCCATTGGTAGAAGCTCATAGTGACTCTCAGGGGTGAGGTTCATTGGTGTATATGTTTGCCTACCACTGGTCCAGGCCAGCGCATTCACTTCCGCCTCTCTTCTCCTCCGTTCTCGTCGGTAGCTTGATGAAGCTGCTCCGGATAAACTGTCTGCGGCTTTGTAGTTTGCGTACTCGAGTATAATTTCTGGGGGCCACGGATTTGGTTGCGTGTAAGTGTTAACAGGTCTCTGGGGTGTCAGTACGCTCAGTGGTACTGTTGAAGAGATCAGCTATTGCAAAACATCGAAGCGGCATACGCAACTGTTTTGAGTCTGATTCGCAGGCCTCCGAGGAGGGTGACGGGCTTGTGCAGGAACCGCGACCCGCGATGGTCTCTCAATGCTCAATGGTACACGGTGCACTGTCGGAGACCTTCGAGTCAGTGAAACCCTAGTTCAAGATCCAAAGATCGCATACCAGGTCTTGGCACATCTTGTGTGCTACCGCCAGAGCTCTTGCTACTACCAAAACACATAGTACTTCAATTTTCAGAGCGAATATTGTGTCTCGGCGACTGCAGTATATATGTAAACAAGCCTAAGCTTTTGGCGAATTCGACACGAACGAGAGAGATATATAGAGAGAGAGAGACTTGCAAATATCTGTGATTTGAAGAGAGCACTCGTTGCAACAAAGAGCATTACAAGAGGTTGTATGGTCTGCGTTCTGGTCTCTCATAGAAGGCCAAGGAGCCTCTTTCTGGCAGCAGAGCTTTTATATCTGAAGTCCTGTATGTTGACCGTCGTTGACGTTACCCCATCGTGCACCACGCACAGCAGCGCCACGATCGTGTCAAACAACCGGAGCGAAGCAGAGAGGCACAGCGATCAATCATGATGCTCTCAGGACGAATCAATAATTGAAACTTTCTGAAGCCTCAGAAATAGTCTGGGCAATGATCATTCTTCCAAACTTTGAAAATATACGCACGCGTAGGCACACAAGCGAAACATCAGTAGGTCTGACGATAGGTTCGTGTCACTTGAAAGCTGTAACACAAGAGCAAGGCTAGCCGCTCATAGTGTACTGCAAACGAAGAGTGCCTGTTCAGCCTCATGCTAACGGCAACGGATTGAATCCATGTCAACTGCGTGGCCAGTAAGCTAACTGGAAAATAAAATGGACAGGGTATAAGACCTCTCTAGGGAGGAACCAGCCTCACATTCGAACGCTATAGCCTCTGGGTCATGCTCGAGGATGTAAATAGGTTGTGTTGGTCTGATGTTTCGTGTCAGTCACACCAGCGAGGCGCGCGGCTGCGGCGAGCTATGAGTCCCTACCCATCACCTTTTGTGCTTTCAGTTATTCATTGTTTTCTCGAACAAGGGTCCGAAGTACTGATTTCTAGGCTCCTCTTATGCTTCATCAATTTGCACGAAGAGTTCGTTGAAGTGTGGACCCATAGCAAACCATCAACATCCCGATACCTCCACTGCGCTGAAATGAGGAAATTCTTGGAGAAATTCTCTTCTGCAGGCGGCTCAAATACAGTCCAAGATCAGAAGAATGACACAAGTCATGTGGCTGTGATACCTGTCCTCAGGCCCGAAACAGGAGACCAACGCATTCCGGATATCCCTCCAAAGGCGAGTCTAGAAGGTCTTCCTGTTGAAATCCAATCCGCTGTTCTACTGAACATCCGCGACATCGCTTCCCTGAAAGGTCTCATCCATGCGTCACCCAAATATCACAGCGCGTATCTGAGTCAAAGACATGCAATCCTCAAGCGGGTCCTGTTCAATTCTATTCATCCTGATGCGCTCTACGATGCCTTCTCCGCGATTAATTCGAGCAGGACTCTAACAAGTAACATTGAAGACCGAGTTGGGAGGGTAAAAGCCTTCCTTTCGGAATACAAGGATAATTGTGACACGTGGACGTCGCCAGAGCACCTCGACCTGGAAAGTGCATATAGACTGGCCCGGCTACAGAATCAAGTACAACATGCGACTGAGGACCTCTGCAAACTAGCTTTTTCGTCTCATCAACTTACTGGCAACCAAGTGAGACACTGGGAACAGCTCTCATCAAACGAAAGTCGTCGCTTTTACCGTGCTTTCTATCGCTTCGAGATCTTCTGCAATCTCTTCCGGAATTGGGATACCCCGCCAGATGACGAGAGTCTCCCCAATGCTTCATCTGAAGACGGAGATAGTACATCCGAGCTAGACTCGATAGAGAAGTCATCGCGCTTCCTCGGCTTGTTCAATCCGTGGGAGGTCGAAGAGCTAGCGTGTGTACGAGACTATTTCTGCAGCTATTATCGTCGTATGCTACGTAAATTTGAACCGGAGCTCCGTGACAGGAATCCAAGTTTGGATCTGTCAGAAGACTGTAATGGCTCCTTTTTAACCAATATATCTCGCAGAAAGCAGAAAGCTAACTAAGCCTAGGCCCTTGGCTCGAAGAGAACATAGAATACCTTATGGCGCTCAGCCTGCGTTTCTATCGAAGGTTGGAAATGTCCTCGCCAAGCAGGCAAATGCGTTACTTGGATTACGGTCTACGCAGTGGACCATCTTTCCTCTCGGATGCTTTAAAGGAGCCGCCACAGGCTGCTGTCCACCAAACGTTGTTCGTGGACGATCCCGTAGAAGTTCATTTCGAGGCTGACAGCGTTCGCGGCGGACCTAATGTGATATGGCTTTTGGCGACTTGCAACAGGATGGACTGCAGCTATTTTCTCTGGCAGAATGAACCCCTCAGGGAGTGGGGTTATGTCTTTTGGGACCAGAAGAGACTCGAAAAGTGGGATGTTCCCAACGAGGAACATGGGACCTGGGTAGAGAGAAGGAGGGCAGGACTCCGCAAAGCACTAAGTGAATAATTGTAATTGACAATGTTCATGCTCAGCGTAATCGGAGTCTTGCACAATATCTCAAGCCCCTGAGTATTAGAAAATGCAACAAGGGTCGCAAACGACTCCAAGAGTAAAGAGTGTGAGCAAGACTGGGTTACAGGGAGTCAAAGCCTGGGAAGTCAGGTGTTTTCAATGGAGGAAAGCCAAACGATTGCCACACTGGGAAGGGGAAGATTCAAAGAACAACGGACTTTCGAAACGGAGGGAGCAGCAAGGCCATATTACGGAGGGCGAACGCCGCAGAGAGATTCCATTCAAAACGGGCCAGCGCCAAAGGAAGGACCTGTTTTTGAGGAAGCTCCGAGAAAGTGAAGAAGTTGAAAAGGGAAAGGGAAACAATCGAAAGGCCCAACCTACAAAAGCGATAGGCTTAAGAAGGCGGGCGTTTTTAAAGTGAGAGAGAGCCCGATGAACTCCCCTTCTTTGAAGCTGGGCTCATGGTAACCGAAAATTCGGCGTCTAAAAGGATCATGCTACCTGCTTTCTCCGAACAGCAGGAGACTGGCAGCTGATACATCACTCACAAGTCATTCCTCAACGGAAAACAACAAGTATGCCATCTTCCAAATCCCAAGTACGTAAAGGCTCCACCTCGCCATTTCAACCTACTCCATCTCCAGTCCAGTCAAGAGTTCTCCCTTACCAACAGTACACCAACCCCACAAGACCTCGTCATCGACCCCAACGACGTCTACCAAGTCCCAGAGGAGAGAAACCGTTACCAAAGCCAGACCCTTCAGCGTAGACGTCACGTATAAGTTCGTCTAGAAAGAGCAGAGCGGCTACCCCGGACATTCGTGCAAAGGCCACGACAACATGCCTCGGGCTACAACTGTAATTAACAATGTCCCAGCTCCCTGAATAGCAACATTCCAATGGTCCGACTGCACCGCCACCTCCTCCAGCTGCAGCGCTCGAGCCAACGGCACACTTTTCGACTTCGAGGTCGACAAGGACAGCAGGAAAGGCGGCATGGACGGGATCGAAGGGCCTCGTGGTGGGACTGCACGACGAGGTGAGGGATGAGAATGGGGATGGATTCTGGGACGCAAAGGACGCTCGCCTAAGCTCTGGATGGCGTGGGGAGGCCGGGAGTGAGGAGTGGGAGTGTCTGAAGTTGAAGGTGGGGGGAAGAGGGTGGGTAGGTTCAGGGTGGATCGGTCGTCAGGAGTAGGAAGAGGAGATGGCACAGGGTATGGGGCTCCGCGAGAGGAGAACCGAAGTGGTATGCTGCAGACCTAGAAAAAGGGCTTTGCCAACCAGTGGCCAGATCACTCCGCGTAGCTTCAAGACCCGCGGTTCAGAGTCAGTATTTACCAAGGTGAAGAAACCTCGTCTCCGATGTACGAGAACAGTGGCGGCTGATCCAAATGGTACTGCGATATCTCACTTTTCGTCCAAGAAGAGGCGAACGCGTATGCTGTCAAACACATTTCGTGCATTGAACAGCGACGTTCTGTACCCGTCTCACCCGACTCTGTCGTGCTTGCACCCTGAAAGGAGCCGAGGACGAACGCCGTCAAGCCCGACTTTCGTGCAAGGAAAAGGTGTCATTTCCAAATGTGAGCACCGAAATAGAGATGAGACACTGTACAGGTTTGTTACTGTACAGGTTTGTTACGACGAATGGCTACCTAGTTGGAGCTGTGGGCGAAATTCAAGAAATGAAAGACAGAGACACCGGGGTTGATTGTTCTGATGTGTTTTCTAATGCAGAGCTTGCGTAATCAGATAACCTAACCTAAGAGGGGGAAAAAGGGTTGAACAATTCGTGCTTCTGGTCCACATGTACAAAAGGCCGTGAAGACCCAGACCGCCTTCACGTTCATTGCAAGCAATGTGTGTTGGACGAAGTCGGTAATAGAGTGAAAACACCTATCCATGACGCAAACGCACGCCAGCAAGCGCTAATTCCGCCCTTCAAAACAATTTCCGTTGCCATTATCCAGTCTGATGTGCCATATGCATGCTGCCCTTGGTGTCTGTGATCGAAGTTTTTTTTACCGGTAGGCTTTAGGAGAGTGCTTTAGCAGCAGTCGGCACAGCACTCGCAACAGTCGGCGCAGCATTCGCATCCTTCTTCAGCGACGAAACAACAGCAGAGGGCCGCAAGACTATTGGAGATTATGATGTCAGCATTAGTCCTGTGATCCGATAGCGCAAGCATTGCAATTGTTGCTGCCAAAAGCTGCAGAGTTGAATGAACTGGGTAGTAGGCGACGGAGGAACGGTTGGAGAATGGAAGGAAACGGCGTCATGATGGCAGGTAGACCTACCAAGCTTCCAAGCAGCCGCGGTTTTTCTTTTGCCTCACGACCACCTGCTGGGGTGGGCCTTGCTGGTATTGCATCTAGTAAATTCCATCATGTCAGCCTCCCATCTGCATTTTTTGAATTTTTTTCCCAACTGGTACATTGCGCTGGTATGCTTGGCGCCAAGTCTCCCCAGGCGACGTCGTGAGGCGAGGAACGATGGGGCACCTACCGGAGGACCTTGGTTGTATCCACCATATTGCTGGGGGGGATAGCCTTGCTGAGGAGGGTAGCCGCCGCCGTAGCTGGATGGGATTGTAAGTCAGTCTAGATGTTTCTTTGATGCATTCATTGAGCTCATTGCTATGGGCGCGATTGAGATGTTGCTGTCCTGACCAAAAACTGCAGCGGACAGCGAGCAGAGGAGACCACGCACCTTTGCTGAGGATACTGAGGGCCCTGGTTGTAGTAACCTTGGCTTGCCATTTTGATCCTTGTACAGTGGTCTGGACGATGTGAGAGGTGTGATGACTTGGATAGGTGTCAGCTGTATGCGCTCACAACAATGGCTGCTGCAACCGGCGATTTTGAGGCCGGGCCCACAGGTAAGTACTGACGGTTCAAGGAGTGTCTGTCTTTAAGTATGCACTCAACAGAGAGGCGTTCACTTAGAAGTCTCTCTGGATGAGGTAGGGATGTCTAGTGATTGATGAAGCTGTGTTGCAGTACCGTGGGTTGAAGAGTTATTTTGTGAGGCGGTCGAGGGGGGGCGGAGTAAAAGATGTGGCAGCGCCGACCGGGCCGATATTTCACCGTGTTGAATTTCACCTGCACCACCTGATTGAATTCACATTGGTCCAGTGAACCTTCTAAGACTCTAATAAACAGGCAAGGTAAGGTCAGAGTCTGAGATGCAGGAGGCCTAAGTGATTCCAATAAATACAGAGGAGTTTGAACAGCATGGTCGTCAGGTTCTTTAGAGACGTCCATTCTACTTATACCTACACTCCTCCTGATAGAGCTTCTAGGCAAAGCTAAGCCACAGGGGAGCCGCGCATTTGTTGATTCTTAAGGCTGCGAATGAGACTGTCATTTGCCACACTGATCATTTTTAGATTTAGTGTACAGTGGCAGTGCTCGACCGTGACGAAGAAGCAATACCATCCAGTAGAATGAATGAGTATGCAGGCTCAATTGGTAAACCAAGTGAAGGCTGCATCTGTTTTGGTGTCAAGATGTATAAGTCTTTGATTTCTTATACATCAAGCTAGGAAGATGTTGTTTCCAGAATACTTGTACTGAATAACTACTCGTTCAGACTTCCGTGACAAAGCGCACGCAAGCTTGACCCGATAAACGTCAGACGTTTCATCATGAGTTGTAGAGCATGATGAGTGTCTAAGGAAAGAGCAAACGATACAACCGAATCCCCAACGACCATGGATTAAAATGAAGCTGCCAATCACCTACACCATTTCGACCAGCCACTCAGTCCTATCAACAAAGCCACCAGCTTTCCCGTTAGACTGATATTGACAAGTATGGAATTTGTGAGATTTGAATGGGTATCAAGAAAAGGCATAGAAGTCACTCAAAGAAGACAAATCAACTCAGGGGAACGGAGGGAAGTCGAGCAATCCATAGTGTGGATTGTTCGGCGAAGGCATCCCGTACGAGACATTACCCGGGATGTACGAATCTTGGAAGGCATTTAGATCTTCCAGAGTATGAGCACTTCTCGTTGTGCTCATGGCTGAAGGCATATCAAGTGAAACGGGGGTGCTGCTGGCGAAGTTGTCGTGGGCGTGCGTAGAGCCTGCCGAGTTGCTTGCCAGAAAAGAAGATGCAGCTGGGGCTGACGAGGATAACGTCTGGCGGGAGTAAGAGAGGTTGATGCTGGGAGTAGAAAGGCTTGCTGCGTTGCTGTCAAAATATGTCCCGAAAGACGTCTCGAAGCCCGACTGGAAGCCTGATCGACTGAAAGGAATATCGACAGCTTGAAGGGTGAATTGCCGATCGTTAGTCATAGCTAGCTCGAGACGATTTGCGCCGTCGAGAGGAGGGGCAGAGATGTGCTGACCGACAGCGCCGTCGTGTGATTGCAAGGTTTCGTCGTTTTTCTGGACGTTCCCATGCAAAAAGAGGTCCTCTCCCACCTCATCTTGCTCTCCCTGCTCCTCCTTGGACTCTTCATCATCTTCGGCCGCGTCATCGCCAGCACCATCGACGGCGCTGTCAGCGACCGCCATGTAGTCCTTTCCGCGCACCTTGATCTTTCTCATCCACCGCCTACACTCGCTCATTGGAGGATCTTTTCCCCCACCTTTGCCCCCTCGCCTCTCCTCAGGATCCACATTGGTCCGACGGACTTCGGATTTTGGATGAAAATGAAAGCGCCGAAGATGGGCCGCAGCGTTGTAGTCTTGCCCGTATGGCTTCTTAGACTCACAAGCTGCGCAACCGGAAAGGAATCCGTCTGGCGAGATATCGACGCATACCCAAGCCGTGCGGAAAGAATTATGGTCAAGAGCCATATGGCGATGAAGTTCATGAGACCCCCGATAACCATCAGGGTTCTTGTTGCACCTTTCACATCTGAGCTTCTCTTTGGTTTGTCGGCTGTATTGGAGTTTGGGAATCAAAACCTTCGCTTCGGGCGCTGACCGTTGGCGAAGCATGTCTTGGCTACCAGACAGGGACGATTGCTTGGACGCTGGCCTCTCGGCTACGTCTTTTGGCGCGATCGGGCGTGCGGCCTGAGCTATTTGTTCTTGGCTCCGGCGAAAAATCCGAGAAGTCGATGATATGTTAGAGTCGGATGATGCATCTCTTACCATCTTCGTGTGAAGCTCCATGGTTGGAAGCGATTGTATTTGTTCCACAGTAGGGATGGAACATGATGAAACGTCTCGTTTCGTTTCCGTGTCAAGCTCCAAGGTCGTATGCAGCTGCAGCTGTTCCACAGCAAGCATTGAAGCTGGTGAGGTTTCAATCGCCGTTCCCTCAGCGTGAGCAAAATATAGAGACTGATCGAAAGGTGTGCCGACTCCTTGTTCGTCAGTAGAGAGAGATTTAAGGTGGAGGCCGTGGCATGAGTCTTGCCGGTACATCTGCTGGCCTGAATCGATCTCTGAAACTCCGGAATTAGCTCTCATCATGCCAAAGGCCCCACAAAACGAGGCAGCGAGACTGTCCTCTCGACTCATCGCGGCGCTTGTAGGTGGGGTTGTATTGGTGAACCTCTCCGACACTGTCGTCGTTGGAGAGACTGAAAAAGGCGACGGCAGTTCAAGGGATGATAGAGGAATGCAGTGATTGTTGAAACTGCTTGGAGATCGTGTATTAGCTGCATAGCTAGACGATGTGAAAGCCCTAGATTGCTGAATGTATTCTGCGGGCTCGTATACTCTGATGTTGGGAGAGTCCTCTGGTATATTTATAGGCATGCGTCCTGCAGATGTTCGTCGGGCTTTGAAGCTGGGTCCAGATGTGGAAGTGTTGGTGTATCCGCAGTATGGCGCATTGCTGTCGAGCTGCCAAGGATTAGTGTCGAGTGATGGAGGACTAATTGCATTCTCGGCAGCGATTTCAGGTCCATATTGTGAAGTCCTGGCCCGTTTCCTAGACATTGGCTCTGACGAAGGAGCATTATAATAGCATTGACCAAGTTCGAGAGGAGTGACGGCCTCCTATACCAGCGTCAGCTCCCTCAAGGATGGAAGGGGCCAGGTGTAGATGGGTACGTACGGATGCACGCCTCCTCGACGCAGCTTCCGACCAGGATTTGGAAGTGGATTGGCGGGCCATCTGGTGTCCCTGGGTTGAGGTGAGCTCTAATGGTTGTATTGGAGCTTGGGTGTCGAGGAGGATGCTGGTGTATGGAGCTGCCCTGGCTGCCCACTGCAGCTTGATCTCGTCTTGTTGAAGGTGCCGACGTTCGTTCCAGAACTTTTTCTTCATCCCCTCCAAGTAGGACATGAGTTCGGGGTCTGACATAGTTATAGCGACCGGCGGGCGTTGCAGAGAAGCAGAACGGAGCATTAGTGATGCTCTCAACGACCGCTTGTCTAGATGGGCAACATTGAAGATCAGCAAAGCGGACTTGCAACAGCACCATTTGCTAGATGGAAGCAATAAGCATACATGAACGGTTGGGTGACAGGGACAAGCCGCGATTGTATGGTTACGGGATGTGATGTCAAGGCGAGAGAAAGCTGAGGTTTCAAGGCGGAAAAGTGTTCGCATTTGAGCGTTTCGTAGGATCTTATCCCAAGTTGCAACTACACCCGGTCTTGTGAGGCATTCTGACCGAAGAAGTAAAGCCCAGCGAAACTTGGCACAGCATCCTGCAGATTGTGTATGGATGGACGAAGGGAAAACAGTGAGGCGGCCAGTCAGGAAAACGCCGCATAGCGGCCGGGCGTCGTTACAGGGTAGCCAAGCAGTTTGGGCAAGGCTGAGGTCCTTTGGTGACGAAGCAAAATATCTGCAGTGACAACGTACAGGCACCACGGGTAATGGTGACTGCGACCACTAACCAGTAGGTCTTCCATGATCTACGCCGCTTTCTGGAGGACCGAAGATTACAGCAGTAAGAACGAGCGCTGCTTCTCTAGCTGCATGAGAAGCTTGAGCAAGTCATGCCACCACTTGCAGCGTTAGCTCTTCCTTCTCTCTCCAATTGGTCGCCTCGCCTCTGTATTGGACTATAATCAATTAGACAGAAAATTGTCCATTCTGAAGGCATCTCTACACCATCACGCGCTCCCCTTCATCGCTTCAGGTGCGACCCCAGTAGCATGGAGAGACTTGCGCGCTCTTATAGTCGTCAGCAATGTAAAAAGCAAGGCGGTGCAGATGACGCTGTCTTCTCTCAATTGGTATTCGGCGTTCCTTGGGTTGCAGCCTCACTAGAGACGGAGTACAGAGGTAGCTATCGGGTGAAAGGGGAAAGCTAAGTTGGACCGAACATTGGCGGGCTTGCCTAGGACTGCATAGGTAGTCAACATTCGGTAGCCTTGGCTACCAAAGGAATGAGTTTCTCGACTTCTTTCCGCGAAATGTAGGTATAGGCATGCCCATGTTGGCTCTGACTGCAAGTCTCATAGTTTGGTTGGAGGGCGATGGATAGCCGGACAGGCATGCTCATGCACCGCAATCATGGCATGAACAGAGATTGGGACTGTTGGTAGACTGCGGAACTTTGCGCACTTTCATGATCAGCTGCGTAATGTCCAAAGTTTTCGAAGCACTCAGAAGGAGCCCAATTTGTTGGCGTTGGTGAGGATGCTGGCACCACTGGTGCTACAAAGGGGTTTTACTATCGATATTCCGGCCTCACCAACGCATAGATATAGATAGGGAGACAGCAAAACCACAAGATGAGCGTGTCAAAAATCGATTGGTATCTCTGGGCAGCAGCACCAGCCTTCTAGAGATGGGGGGGACTCGTAAGGGAAGAATTGGCTGCGTACTTTAGGAGAAAAGTTTGAGCTTTGACTTCGGGGGGCCGGCCGCCGGAGACAGCAGAGAGGCAACTTTAAATTTGGAGCCGCAGAGCATGATCTGTTCTTTGAGCATTTCGGGACTTCTTGCTGCAATCCAAACATTATTGGCGTGCCACATCAGACATGGCAGTGGAAGTCTTAGAACCATTCTTGAAGGGCGATACGGGTCGAAATACCAGGGGCCTTCTTCGATTGATCATTCTATGCACAATTGCTGCTGCTGCAGTCGCGAGTCGTTTGTTCAGTGTGATACGTAAGTCTTCACCTTTTCAGTTTGAAAGAGTATCCAGATAGCTTGGTCAAGCATTTCCGGAGCGCATTAGCTGACATACATGCGTTGTAGGGTTTGAGAGCATCATTCACGAATGTTCGTCTGCCCCCAAGAGCCTAGAAATCTGGCGAGAGATCCAGTTGGCATTCTGGCATATAAGCGCTGATTGAAGGCAGTCGATCCCTGGTTCAACTTTCGAGCGACGAAATATCTTGTACAGAATGGATTTTACAGCTTCTGGGACTGGTTTGATGATCGTGAGGCTTCCACTCTCTTGCGCAGCATCATTCCCTATACAGGGTGTCTGCGAACGTTGCAAGTTGGCCGAAAAGCCAGACCCAATACCTACAGCAGCAGTGGCTGACATGTCCTGTTTCTTTAGGAACATGGCATCCACTGGGACGTGTCACTGGTGGCACGTTGTATCCTGGGCTTATGGTCACCAGTGGTATCATCTACCACGTCCTCCGACTCCTGTCAATGCCAGTCGATATCCGAAACATATGCGTCCTTTTAGCTCCTGGATTCTCTGGTCTTACCGCTTTTGCATCATACCTGATCACGTCGGAAATGACGACCTCTCCGTCTGCCGGTCTGCTTGCAGCTGTCTTTATGGGCATCACACCTGGATACATCTCAAGATCCGTTGCTGGAAGTTACGACAATGAGGCTATTGCCATCTTTCTGCTCGTGTTCACCTTCTTCTTATGGATCAAGTCCGTCAAAAATGGTTCGGCCATGTGGGGAGCGCTGACCGCTCTGTTCTATGGATACATGGTCTCAGCATGGGGCGGCTACGTCTTCATTACCAATTTGTTGCCACTTCATACGTTTGTGCTCATATGTATGGGAAGATACAGTCCCAGACTTTACGTTAGCTACAGCACATGGTTTGCCCTCGGCACCTTGGCCAGCATGCAGGTTCCATTCGTCGGCTTTTTGCCCATTAGAAGCAGCGACCATATGTCGGCACTAGGTAAACTTGGGCCCAAGGATGAAGACTGTGGCAATAGACTGACTGTTCCAGGTGTCTTCGGCCTTCTCCAACTGGTGGCCTTTGTGGAATTCATTCGCCAGCAAGTTCCCAACAAACAGTTTCAGACCCTACTTAGGGGCTTGATCTTCGTAGTCTTTGTAGTGTCTATGGGTGTTTTGGTTCTCCTGACGGTCTCGGGAGTCATAGCTCCGTGGAGCGGTCGCTTCTACTCGCTTTGGGACACTGGCTACGCAAAGATCCACATTCCAATTATTGCCTCGGTGTCTGAGCATCAGCCAACCGCATGGCCTGCATTCTTCTTCGACCTCAACCTGATGATTTGGCTCTTCCCCGCCGGCGTCTACATGTGCTTCCAGCAGCTGAAGGATGAGCATGTTTTTGTTGTCATATACGCAGTCTTGGCCAGCTATTTTGCTGGCGTCATGGTTCGTCTGATGCTGACCTTGACGCCGGTCGTTTGCATTGCGGCTGCACTAGCACTTTCAAGCATTCTGGACACCTACCTCGTGGCCGAGAATCCGATCCCAAAGGAGCCTCAATCTAACGGTCAGGCCCGTGGTGACAGCGTCAAAAGTGCCACCGATATGATCAAAGATTCGTTGAGATCGACGCGGAACCCCATCTTAGGTATCTACTCGTACATATCCAAAGCCTCCGTCGTTGGAGCAGTGACGACGTATCTATTGTTATTCGTGCTCCACTGCACTTGGGTCACCTCGAACGCTTACTCTTCTCCGTCTGTTGTGCTTGCCAGCAAGCTCCCTGATGGAAGTCAGCACATTATTGATGATTATCGCGAAGCCTATTACTGGCTTCGACAGAACACTCCGGACAAGGCCAAGATCATGTCCTGGTGGGATTACGGCTATCAGATTGGCGGCATGGCAGACAGACCCACGCTGGTCGATAACAACACGTGGAACAATACGCACATCGCGACTGTCGGAAAGGCGATGAGTTCTAGGGAGGAAGTCAGCTACCCGATTCTCCGACAACATGACGTCGATTATGTGCTGGTCGTCTTTGGGGGTCTCTTGGGCTACTCCGGTGACGACATTAACAAGTTTCTATGGATGGTTCGCATTTCTGAAGGTATCTGGCCCGATGAAATCAACGAGCGGAACTACTTCACCGCCCGAGGCGAATACCGAGTTGATGACGAGGCTACCCCAACCATGCGGAACAGCTTGATGTAGGCTTCAGCACGATGCGTGTTTCCGCACGAGTCGCTAACGGAATTTAGGTACAAAATGTCATACTACAACTACAACGCTCTGTTCCCGGCTGGGCAGGCGCAAGACCGGGTGCGAGGGTCGAAGCTCCCTGCTGACGGTCCTCAGCTGAGTACTTTGGAGGAAGCATTTACGAGTGAGAATTGGATCATCCGGATCTACAAGGTCAAGGATCTTGACAATGTGGGTCGAGATCATGCCAGCGCGGTTGCTTTCGACAAAGGCAACAAGAAAAAGAAAACGGCCAAACGACGAGGGGCCAGGGTGCTCCGGGTTGAGTGAGCTTTGGTAGGTGGGGAGTACTAGTACGCGTACTCTATTGTACAATACCTTATACCTAGATCATCTTCGGGACACTGTTACACTACTATGCTTCTGATCTATCTGTGTTATTTCAGCCCTTGGGAAAGCAGGATCATCACGTGGATTAACACGGCGATTTCATCTGCCCAGACTGCCTCCGAATTTATTGGAGAATCGAGCAGTGCGCATGTATATGCAAGTAAAGTAGGAGATAAGGGCGCTAAAGGCCCGATGCCGCTGGCCTCTTGCCTGAACCTTCTCCATCATTCTGAATAACAATCAATGCTCCCATCTTTCCATCTTCCCATCTTCCCATCTTCCAATCTTCCACGTTTCTGTACGCTCGGACATTCTTTTTCTGGTGAGGATTGAGGACATTGGAGGATTCAGGATGGCCATGCGCCGCGGGGCGTTGATGCCTTTGTTGTCATTCGGCCGAGAGAATGATGGTGGTAAGGTAGGTAGGTAGGTAGGTAAGATTACCTACCTACCAACCGGTACTTTAGTTTTGATGAAAGGCTGATGGTGCTGATAAGTGGTTCAGTGCACGAGGGAAGATAGCGTGCGGTATTGCTGCCCAACTTCGCCAAATCGACTGGTATTCCATTCACCATAGGCACATGTACATTATCCGACCCAAAGCCACCGGATGCCATTTCTAGACCAACTTGCATTGAACATGCAGT